CCATTCCTGATTTACAATCTTTAACATTAACAATTCAACCCTTCTTCATCAAGACATATGACTTCATACCAACATTTGATTTGAAGAATCTAACTTGCATGTTAACTGGATCATTAGTTTTTGGAAAGGTTTTGTAACAAAAATTAATGATATCACAAACTTCAACAAATAAGTGATTAGTTTCCAATTGAACAGGAGTAGGATGATTTCTACGATATTCAATAATATTTTCAGTTAATTTCTTAAATTTGTCCTCAAGCACTTGATAATTTTTGATCAATTCATTCTGTTCTTGTTCGGAATAAACTGCTTTCTCTGCTGCTTGTTGTTTAGCCTTTTTCAAATCAAAGAACATTTTACTACTTGTTGTATGATAATTTCTTCTATTTGCAATTTCCATTGAAAAGTTTAATTGATGATGCTTTCCGACATTGATCAGTGGTACGGAATTAAAATTAATCATCATCAATCCACAACTACCACCAACAAGAATAGAACCATTCTTGAGAGATGATGAGGATCCTCGAGAAGCAGTAATAATTGATGATGAGAGAACCTTGTTGGCAAGTGTTTTCATTTTTTTTTTAATTTTTTTTGTAAATTGGAAATTAACACGAACTTGAATTGATAGGATTTTGTAAAGTGTTAATCCAATCAATTATTTCAAAAACCATTCATAGGGATATGGAGTTAATAGAAAATAAATGAGAGAATCTCTTGAAGGAAATTCCATGGTAGAGTGTTGTTGGTGGAAGGTTGCTGAATATCTTGGCCAACTTTTGAACTAAAAGAACAAGATGAACAGTAGTGTTAGATTACATTATAGACATGTATTTATTCATGTCTTGATGAAGAACGATCTAGTAGATGATGAATGATTAATGTTAGGAAGCATGTGAAAATTCAATTTGGCAATCTTTAGAAACTGTTGGAAAAACATCGCCAAAATATCCTTGCTGATGTGGTACAATAGTAAATCTTTGTCTTCCTCTCGAAATTGACCAAGTTTCCAAAAGGTGCAAATGTTAATTCTTTGGATGACCTTGTAAATTATGAAATTGTCTGAATTGATGTATGTGAAAATTATTTACTTTCATCTTCTCCAACTCTTCATCCACTTGATGGAAAGTTTTGAAACTTTCCATGGTGATACTAATGAACATTTAGAGCATGCCTATGATGTTTTTGTTGCTCTGTATGATGTTCTTGATGATGAAAATATTAAAATTAATAAAATTGATGAAAATATTCTTAAAGAGTCGCACCACTTGATTGTAGTATAATTGGGGTGAATACTATAAGATGGTGCTACTTCTCCAATTCAACAAATTTTTCCGTCAATTCAATAATCGCCTTTTAAAAAGTGTAATTCATTTGTTAAAATCCAACAATACTATTTCCACACATTCCATATTATCCTATCGTCTTATCCTGAAAATATTTTCCACAATGATGAAGAACAGCCTTTGGTAATAAACAAATGATGAAACCTCTGAAACGTTTGCTTGGCTGATGATGAAAATTTTTTGTAATTTTAATTTATCAAAAATATTCAACAAATAGTCTATGGACATTCTCGGAGTGGTTTTACATCATGAAACCACCAAACTTTCACGACATCATCTCAACATCATCATAAGTAGTAGTAGTAGCAATTTTTATTGGTGGATTATCATCAACAAGTTTCAAAAATATTGGATCAACATCAGGTACATCACTCTGCTGATTCTTGGAGTGATTTCACATCTATTAACTCCAAGAATTTCACCACATCATCTCGTCATCATTTAAATAATAGTATTAATAGTAATTTTTGGAATTTAACAGTTGTAGATTTATCATTATTAGAATCAATAGCTTTGATTTAGGTGAATATGTATTTCCTTACATATCATAAAGAATTGAGTTTTTATTTTGATTCAGTGATAGGAGCTACAATTAATGTATTTTCATCTTCCTTTGATAAACTCAATTTGATTTCTAAAGTATTCTCATTAATGTTTGAATGGAAATCTTGTTGTTTTGCGTTCATTACAATGGACAAAGCGTTCAGAGGAAGTTTCTTTTCTAATAATGGCTTCACAATTTCTACTATGCAGGAAATACAAGTAGTTCCTGTCATTATTTGAGCCATCGGTGTGCTTAGATCCTCAAGAGATGGAAAGAAGGTTACTGTAAACATAACACCGGTTTCTTCCTTGATGTGCTCGATGAATTGATCAACAGCTCTTTCCATTTTCCAATTCCTAATACTCTTACCAATAGAGGTTGCAATTATCATGTCATCAGAGATGTTTTTGGAAATTCTTGGTGTTTCAAATCAAAT